GGCGGTCACTATTACATAGCCAACATCGCCTGACAATTGCGTTTAAATGGTGCGCCATTAATGTAGCTTCTTAAGGCCTGGACACCAGGTGGCGTGTCGTTTTTGGGCTCCAGGCACCTTGCGCGACAGTGGCCTGGGCATTCTCGCAGCGCAGGCACCAGGACCTCTGTCAAGTACATCACGTGAAGAAAGGGAAGACACTCCTCTGGCGAGATACAGTGAAGACCAGTCAAGACTGCCGAATCCCAGCATTTCTGCTGTCTTGAGCTGGACTAGGCAAACTCTGAAAGGCCTACACAAAGAAAGAGTAGGTTGTGACGCATCGCGATGCGATGTCTGAAGCTGCTCCTGCTACTCCCGTTGTTGTCGCTGGCCGATCTCTTCATAGGCGGGCCGGGGAGCTTCAGCGGGGAGGAGCCGATACTGGCCACCTGCACCCTCTCCCAGCTCCAGTGCTTACTGCTTTGCCAGCGGTCGGGTCAGTGTTCGGCCCTCACCTGGGGCCCACAGAGTGCCTGCAGTCTATACGCCGACCTTGATCTGCCCAACCTAGTGACCTCCATAGACAGCTACAGCTACAAACGACAGCGGCAGGCGGTCTCCTGCTCCGACGGATGGCATCAGCACAGGGGCCGGTGTTTCTATATGTATTCAAAGGACGGCGGTCATATAAAAAAGATCTGGGCGAGATTTTCTGCATGATACTCAATGGAACCCTGGCCACCATTCGTGACCAGGGTGACATTGAGTTCCTAGCTGCCAAGGCCATTCTGCTCTCGATCCAGACCTCGTAGTTCTGGATCGGGCAGCGTCTTAACCGGGCATCTGGATCCTGGCAAAACAGCGACGGTTCTACGTCTACCATGCAGCCCGCTGGTCTTCCAGAGGGCGGGGAAGAATGCGCTCTTCTCAACGTTCTCTAGGCTGGGCAGCATGAGTTGCACGGATGCCAAGTCCGGTTTTGTGTGCGACAGCATTAGTGGCTGATCCAAATGACCCCACTAAAAAGCGCCGACTTAAAAGGGTGACCTCAACTGGTATGGTGTAAATGACGTCAGTACAGATGGGCGTTTGTGATCGGCACAACATGCGGCGATGGTTTTTTACCAAGAAGTGTTTTGGTTCAAGTTTTGACAAGCGCGTAACCAAAGATCGCGGACATTATTGTCCTTAACAGAGGTGGCGACGCCTCTATTTGAGTGAACACCGTTGCCTGGAGAGGAGGTCGCGGCGTCTCCAATCGTGTCGACAGCGTCGCCTGAAGTAGAGTTCGCGACGCCTCCATTGGAATGGACGCCGTCGCCAGAAGCAGAGGTTGTGATGCGTTTCGATGTGGGTAGAAATCGTGGCCTGAAACAGCGTCGCATTTGTTCTCTTGGCAAAGGCGAGAATGTTTTCTTTTTGTTTTCACTGCGCCACGCCTACCAGCCGGCTTTCGTCCTCGAGAGCGAACCGCGGACCGCCAGTCCCCTCCGGCGGGGGCCGGGCAGGGGTCCTGTCACACGGCCGTATGCAAGTTGGTTCAGTGACTTTCTGCAAGAGCACAGAAGTGAAGAATGCCGGTAATCCGCCTCTATTTATGGCCAACACGTTGATAAGCCTTGCGTCGTCGTACACGTCATAGTCGAAGCCTTACCGAAGCGGCCGTGCGTTGCGATTCGGAAGATAGCGGTATCCAAGCGGGGTTCTGCCTAATGCCCCCCCCCCCCCCCGGCCTTGGACACGTATTACCTTTCTTTGTACCATCAGATGTGGCTTTAAATCATCCTTAAGTCTTTTTAATTATTTTTATAATTTTAAAGCCGGATAACGCTGACTTATATCATGACAGTCAGCATATGCATCTCTGTTACGCATTTCTAGTTCAGTGAGGGGTCACGTGGACGTTGTCCTGTTGTCGCATTACGCTTATTTAGCGTAACCAGGGCGGGGTTTTGTCCAGCGTGACCAGAGTGTGACCAGACGGAGTAGGTTACAGGACTGCCCTTTGATGGCTCTTGACAGAAGATTAAAACTCCGAATGATCCGTTGTCATCCTCCTGCAAGACAGTTCCGGTTGCACCCCTGTTTCGAGCGACAATAAGAAACCTGAGGCTATCGATATTGCGTGAAGAACATTTCATCATGATGCAACGTTATTCCAGCCTGCAAACAGGGAACGATGCAATGCAAGATTATCACTACATGAGTCACTGCAAGCCACGCAGTGTGTTGGCCATACATATGTCGGTCGTGGCGAGATGCGTCGTGGCTTTTTGCCCTAACATAAATAACCTACGTAGCCCACATAACCGCCAATAGCCTACGTGGTTTTCGAAAGCAGTTATATTCCAACAGACTCAGGTTCGTCGCTAGGCATAAGGCTCGAAACAGGTG